GTACGACTACACCGCAATGGGACCTAACCTAGCACTACTCCTGGGAGGGTGGTCAAAAATGGTTGCGGATAGGGGTACCCGTAAAACACCGGTTTACTCGCCAGCCTTGGGTTAAATTGTTTTCAGTGTGGATCTTTCCGAGGGCATATAACGGCCGGCGATGAATTATTTTTGTTCATCTATTTTTGTTCATTATTTTGAATTATTTTTGCCTGTAAGTCAGACGCAAAGCTAATGTTTAAAAAGACGCACAAAGTCGGAGTAAGATAATTCCTCTATTATAATGGTTCTATTATTTCCAAACGTACCGTCTTCTAGTTACATATAAAAGATTCAACAGATAGGAAAAGTGTGAGCTGATAATCCTGAAAAACAGCTAACTGAACAGGGTCATGTGAAACTTTAATACTGACGCCGAATACCGTTTAATTGTGAGCACATATGTAAGCATGTACTTCAGAGGCGACCAGGGATGCCTGAAGACACCCGCAGTCCCGGTCCCGCCGGTGAGACGGTGGAATGGAGACAGCGGAACGTTTCCTTTGCCCACTGCAGTCCGGTTCGCCCACCCAACCGCCCCGGCTCGAGCCATGGGATCCTCGTCAGCGCCAAGAGCCGGACCCCACCGCATTCCTACATCAATCTGCATCTCTAATGGGGCCGTTCACCGCACCAGTCGTCGGGGACGGAACTGGCTCCCGAGCTGAGCCAATGCATAGGGGACGAAGCCAGCTTCAGAGCTGAGCCAGCACGGGACGGAGGTGGCTCCCTGCTCCCGAGGTAATGTTGAGCTAAAACAGCACGCAACTGGCTCCGAAGTTGAGCCAATTCGGGACGGAGCTGGTTCACGAGCTAAGCCTGAACAATAAGCACGGCACGACCTGAGGTAGCGATAGCCTAGCTCAATCTCAGACAAGTGCTCCGACTGGATCGCAGCCACCCGAGAAGAGATTGGAGTTATTGGACTCGATCGGAGCAGCTTGAGAGCCTGGTAATGCTCCTCAGACGGTCGATTAGCTGGGTTTCGTCAGAAACTTGCATCAGCAGCTCCGGGCACAGATAAGGTATTCCTCGGCAAGAGCGGAGCTACCGACTAAAATAATAACGGGCACTTACCAGAAATATTACCATTCGAGTCAACGGGTCCAAGAGTTCGCTAGGATCTAGGTCCAAAATGTATTTCTTCCAATACTTCCACTGATCCGTGAACTTATCCAAGTTGATACATGTACAGAATAGCAACAAGAATGTGAAAGCAAAAATGCAACCCAAGGAGCCAGAGCTCATGTGTTTCTAAATTCCTAGAAAGGTGATGAGCGCTGGTTAAAAAAGTCAGGTACGAACACGTATTGGAATACGTAAATTATAATGGACTTCGTCTCCGCATGACACACATAAAAAAGTAGAATAACACAGGCTACACAGCTGCACTGATGTATGTTCAATACAAAACAACTACAGAATGAATTGGTGGACCAATAACTTTATCATGACGTTGTTTTCCACAAGCAAAAGAAAAAATTGTTATGTGATGAGTCGAAAGGTGAGCTACCGTCGTAAGATTAGGTGCAGTGTTCTCTTGTGTTTGGTGGTGACGTCAACGGAAATTACAGTAGGTAGACGAGACCTGATGGATTCAGAGAGAAATAGGATATGTTATTCCGTAGGGTTGATCAACGCTGATAAATCTTCTCTCGGAGGACAAGCCTGCACGGCAGATTCTGCAGCGAGCCGTGCGGTGCGTCTGCGGCGCGGCGCTTTCGCCGTGGTGCGCCGTTTCATGGCGCAGCGCCGCCTTTCGCCGTCGGTTTCACCGGTCCGGTGTGCGGGGCAGGTGCCGGGTCGGCGCTGGAGATGGTCGTGCCCTGCCCCGGACCGGTCACTGCAGACCGCCGCCCCTCACCGTCTTGCAGCAGCTTTCTCTCCCTCTCTTGCACAAGGAGGAAGTGCGCGGCTCCGGTGGGTCGGCAACGTTCAGATGCTGCCAATTTAGGACATCATGATGCGGCCTTTCAGGATTCAGCTCTGTGGACAGGTCTCAAAGAAAGGAGCGGTAAGACTCCCGAAAGTGTCGCCAGGAGCTGTGGGTGCACACGAGACACGCAGGTCGGTTGCTGGCTGGGTCTCAGCGCAACCCATTACAAAACACTGCCGCCCTGACGGTAAGGGTACCGTCCACGGTGTGGCAAGTCTGTACCCTCGAGTCAAATTGGACATGGGCCGAATCGTGGCGTCACAGGACGGAGTTGCACCAGCTAATCTCCAGCCAGAGTGAGGTGATAGTGACAAAGATCCAATTAGACGGCTTTCTCTGTCCCCGCATGCGCCGGTAATAAAGCTGACGTCAGTGAATGATTGGGTGAAACATCAGCCAGAGCAATCACGACGCCGTAATAAGAGACGCCCGCGGAGTATTATTACAGGCGTGTCGAGGAAATGAGCGCTGTAGCATCGGCAGCGGTCTTCCCCGAAGTACGTGGCGTGACAAAGTCAGTGTGCTATTTAGAGAGAAAATGCGATGCTGAATGAACCTGATACCATACAAATGCAGAGGCGTTAATGAATGGGGGAGTCCGAGGGATGCGCTTTACGTATAAACTGAGGTCAACCCACGCACTTCTATAGCAATTTAATTACATTCCAGTCCCTTCTAATAGTCATTAAAGTGATACTTCAATCAATATTTACACATTCGACACCGTCGATACTCGGGAATATTTGCTCGTTAAAACAACTCTAGCTTAGCCCGGAAACTGAAAAAGACTTATTTGTGATGCAGCTAATTGAGCTTATGTTACCTGCAGTCTGTACCCATCCCAAAATGGTCACAGCTATCTGATATACCTCACCCGCCGTACCGTTCACCGTCTGGATCACGAATCTGGCGCCCTGAAGCTCCGTTCCACCGCGCCGTTCCGACCGTCTACCATCGCTCGGAGGGGCGGCCCTGTGCCAGGCACCGGCCATATATCTACATTATACCGTGACAGGCCACGCCGGAGTCCTGCTGACCAAACCTGCAGCGCCCTGCAGCCCACAGCTCCGACCTCACGTGGCAGGACGGTGACGTGGCACCGGGGCTCCTCCGCGGCGCGTCCAGTACCAATTATGCTCGAGGTACCCCCGTGGTGCTGCTCGTCTAGAAAGGGCATGACATCGGGGCCTGAGGATGTTACAGTGATCAGACATCGGCCTGGAGCTGAGACGATCAGCCGACCTGTAACGACTTGCTTGTTAGGGACAGGCACAGGCCTCATCAGATAGCATGAATCATGATGTTAGCATAAAGGAAAACACGACCATGTGTGGACCATATGTGGAGAACACGTAGAGATTAACCTGGGGCCCAGCGCGGTTCCTCGATCTGCCTTTGACCTGCAGTACTACATCTGACACATCACTAGTTACATTTGGGTGCCCCAGCCGCTGGGTGTGACGAACAGTTATCAGCCATCAGTCATCGGCCCTTCAGCCTCGTAAAGCTTCAACATGTAAGACGCTTCCTTGTCTTCATGGGCGTAGGAACGTCATGAAAAGTGGGTGGGCCACCCTGTCAAGGGGCCTCCTTTTCCAGGGGGCCTCCTATTTTCAGGGGCCTCCAACTTTTGCCTCATTCTGCTGGCTGCTTTCAAGTATGACCTCCAAATCTAGCTTCTGAGATCGGGCAGATGTACCCAGGGGCGTAACCGCTAAAGCGAACAGTGCGGAAAGTCCGCACCATTTTTAAAACTTCTTCCCCCCTCCGATTTTTTTTTTTAGAATCTATTTGCCGCAAACGGCGCATGACCCCTGAAAACCCTTACACAAATGTCTTCCTCGTTTCCCAGGTGCCCCCATTAGCTTCATAGGCGCCCTCTTTGGCATATAAGCGCCCTATGTGCCTATAGTCATCAGAGACATCCCTATATGTCCCACAGTCGCCCCGTTGTCGCATACAATGTGCGCTTATCATAGGCGTCTCTCTTTTATGGACACTTGAAGGCGCCTCTCTTTGCCATGCCGGCGCCCCTGTTTCTTTTGAATGCACCCCCATGGCATTGATCAATTGCAATTTGCAGACCTCTATCTCATGTGGACGCCCATATATGTAGGCCTCAGAGGCGCCCCTCTTTCACATTGAGGCGCCCCTATGGGCTTCATAGGCGCCCCTCTATTGCACGTAGGTGCCCTACTGTCTCAGAACCGCTCCCCTTTGGCATGCAGGCGCCCATCTTTCGTACGGAGGAGCCGCTGTGGTTCTTAGAGACGGCATGGTGCTCCCAGACGCAGATGGGGCTCTCGGAGTCGACAGTGTGGGACCTTCAGTCGCTGATGGGTGCCCGCCAGATGTGGACCCTCGGAGACGCCGGTCTGGGGCCCTCAGAGATGCCGGTATGTGGCCCTTAGAGACACCGGTGTGGAACCCTCAGATACTTCAGTGTGAAGCCCTTACAATTGCTGGAGTGGAGCTATGAATGCGCTGGCTTAAATCCCTCAGAGGCCGGTACATGGACATTAGAGCTCAGTGAGAGTTTGTGTGGTGCCTTCAGTGGCCTTGTGGAGCCGTTAGACATCAACATGGTGCTCTGAGGAGCCGGTGAGTCCTCAGAGTCACCGGTGTGGGGCCTTCAGAGCTCCGAGATACTGGTGTGGGGCCCCTTAGAGGTGTCGGTGTGGGTCCTTCAGATGTACAGCCCTCTGCAAACTGCGTGGTAGGTATTCTGTTTCCGACAAAACCGAGAATAACGCGAATACTATGATATCGGTCACTCGAAAATCGTAACAGCAAGACGCGCGAGACACCGCACCTTAGATTGGCATTATCATCGTGTTCATTTTCTATCCAGTTTGGCAACAAAACCCAAAAGTTTATATTTGCCCCAAAAACAAACTTTTGCATTTTGTTGCCACACAAGCCGTATATTTTGTTAAGTGATAGACCCAATCGAAGGAGTGGAGCATGGCGCATCTATGTTACGGGCGGCTGTGACCGCCCGTTGTGGCATGCCTGGCGCCGCCCGTGGCGCCTCCCCGGCTGGCCGCGCCCGGCGCCGCCCCTGCCGCGTGGCCCTCGGGCGGGGTCGAGGGCTGGCGCTGGCTGGGCGGTCGGCGGCCCGGGAGAGGCAGGGAGACCGTGGTTACGAGCGGTTGGCTCTGTGGTTCTTGTTTGGGCCTCTGCCGATAATACAGTAAAGCATCGAGTCTGAGTGTGTTCAGCGCCCGCAACATTTGGCGCGGTCGGTAGGACTGCAGAAGACGACAAAGGGTGAGTTCATTAATTTCATTTGATGATATTTATTGAAATTTAGTTCATGAATGTTGATTATCGTAACTAGTCGGTGCTCGACAAAAAGCGGGCGGTTTGCTCGGAAATAGAACGCCGATATTTTCTGTTCTGAGGGGAACGTTAGGAATAAGGCGGTCCGCCTGGGTGCAGTTTTGAATAATTTGGTGAATTGTTTCCGCTGGCCATGGATTTCAACGACACTATTTTGGTATCGCGAACCCCTCGTTTTGCGGGTGTAGAGACAGATGATTGGGAGCGGTGGATATCTCGTTTCGAGTCGTTAACGGTGGGACTCGGAGACGTTGAGCGAGTTAAGCGGCTGTTGCCTCTGCTGGATGGCGTCGCACTCGATTATGCGCATTCGCTGTATCAGGGTGACAGTTCGTACTCTGAGATAAAGTCAGGACTTGGGGTCCGGTTTGGTCGGTTAATCGAGCCCTTACAGGCGCAGGCCGAGCTGGGGCGCGCCTCCCAGTCGCCGGGGGAATCAGCTGAGAGCTTCGCTGACCGTATTAAGAGACTGGGGCGGGCTGCGTTCCCTCATTCTACCGGTCCGTCAGGGGAGGGAAAAGGTCCTGAGGAAACGTATGCAGAGAGGGCGTTCGTGATGAAAACCCTGACGAGTCGGTTCATATGTGGACTTCGGGATGAGTGGCTCCAGACGAAACTGTGCCACCGTAATCCTGAGTCACTGTCTGCGGCTGTAGCGGTGATCCGAGAGCTGCATAAACGCCAGGAGGTCGTCCAGGCGGTACGCGCTGCTAACCCATCGACGCATACAGGTACTGGGCCCCTTCCCCTGGGTGCTGTAGCGTCAGCTGTTCATGCAGAGGTAGGAGGTGGGTCGCAGCAGGATGCAAGGATAGCTCAGCTGCAGCAGGAGATCGGCCAGCTGCGGTCTTCGTTGGAGGCGTTCGCCGTTGCCAAGACGGACCACCTGCCTGAGGCTGTCAAATGTTACGGGTGTGGTGCCCCCGGCCATTTTCGGCGTGACTGCCCGGTGGTACGCCGTGGTCAGCCGAGAACTGGACCGAGAGCCACCAGGGTGAAATGTTTTTCGTGCGGGCAGGAGGGTCACATTCGGAGCAACTGTCAGTCGGCTGTACAAGCTGCCACCCCGCTCCAACCGTTTTGTTTATTCTGTGGCGAGGCTGGGCACTGGATGGCGGCATGCCATTCTCGCCTGCAGCAGGGGCCTCCAGCAATGGGTGGACGTCGGGGGCTGATGTCGAGGGAAGCCCTTCCATCTGATAAGCCGGCGGAAAACTAGGGGCAGCTGGCCCTGTGGGACAAGAGCCGGCTGCGTGTATCCAGTCCCGATTAACTGCAACAGCCATTCGAGTCCACTTGGGCAGCCTCGAAGTATGGGCGCTGGTCGATTCGGGTGCCGACTTTTCCATGGTCAGGGATGGGCTCCAGCAGCGGTTGAAAACGGAACTGGCTTGTCAGGCCACCACCCCGACGCGGTCCGCGAAGGGAGCTGGTGGTAGCCCCCTGAACATCGTTGAGGTGCTCCGTGATGTCCCTATCCAGGTGGAGGAGGAGTCGATTGTGTGTCCACGACTGGCTGTGGTGTCGGGGCTGGTCTATGACGTGATCCTTGGACGTGACTTCTGTTGCCAAAACAGAACTATCATTGACGATGAGAAGGGGGTGATCCGTATGAAAGGGATGACGATTCCACTTCCAACATACCCTGAGATCCGTCCCCCGCGGGCTAGAGTCATTCTTGGCGATGCAGTAACACTACCAGGTCGTTCGGTAACAACGGTAGCAGCAGTGGTGCAGCGACTTGATGGCCAGGGACCTTTTGTGACGTCAGCAGGCTCGGTAAGTGGGATGATGGAGCCAAGCCGCACGGCGGAGCGTGAGGATCTATTGATTCCACGGGCTGTGGTGGTGATCGCCTCCAATGGCACCATACCTATCCGGTTGACGAATGTCGGAGCGGAGGGCGTCCGTCTCTTGAAGGGCTCTGATGTCGGGACGTTCCTTGCGTTTGGGGGCGGTGAAGACGCCCTGTGTGTTTTGTGTCCCGGGGCAGACTGTGCCGATTGCAATGTGGCGAGCTGTGGAGATGGAGGTAATCCATCTCATGATCCTGGAGAGGTGGAACCGGAGGTGCAGCAAGCCCTGTCACCAGAACTGACAGACTTGAGTGAGAGAGGTCGTAACAAACTACGGGGTTTATTTGAGACCTACAGTGACGTCTTCAGTAAAAGACCGGGAGACATTGGTCGTACAGGTGTGACAAAACACAGGATTGACACGGGGGATGCAGTCCCAGTCAAACAACGTCCACGACGGATACCCATGAAAGTCCGAGACCAGGTAGAGAAACAAAAAGAAAAGATGTTACAGGATGGTGTCATTGAGGAAAGCGAAAGTCCGTGGTGTTCGCCGGTCGTGTTGGTGCGCAAGAAAGATGGATCCTTCCGCTTCTGCGTCGACCTGAGGGCTGTGAACGCAGTGACGAAGGGCTTCGCCATGCCGCTCCCACGAATCGACGACTCGCTCGATACCCTGTCAAGGGCGAGGTGGTTTACCACGCTGGACATGGCCACAGGGTATTGGCAGGTTGAACTGGCGGCTGAAGATCGAGAGAAGACGGCATTTTCGACTGGAAAAGGCCTCCATCAGTTCAGAGTCATGGCAATGGGTCTCAAGAACGCCAGCGGCACTTTCCAGAAGACGATGGAACTGATTCTCGCAGGCCTTGACACCAAAAGCTGTTTGGTGTACTTGGATGACGTCATCTTGTTCAACAGGACCGAGGAAGAACATCTGGCTACCCTGCAGGAGGTACTCCTGAGGATTCAGCAAGCCGGGCTGAAGCTAAAGGCACAGAAATGTCGATTCGCACGCAAGGAGGTGACTTTCCTTGGACATCTCGTCTCCGAGGAAGGGATACGTCCAGATCCGCATAACGTGGACAAGGTCCTGGCCTGGCCGCAGCCGTCATCTGAGGAGGAGATGAAAAGCTTCTTAGGCCTGTGCGGGTACTACGCGCGGTTTATTCAGGGGTATGCCGCGATTACAAAGCCACTTAGGGACGCCGCAGTAGAGGAGGGACGAATCAGGTGGTCCGAACCGATGCGCATTGCATTCGAGCTGTTGAAGTCCACTCTGTCCTCGCCTCCCGTACTGGCTTTGCCAACAGGTGAAGGGACGTTCGTCCTGTATACAGACGCATGCAACTCTGCCGTGGGTGTGGTGCTGGCTGAACGCATTGGAGATGAGGAAAAGGTGATCGCCTATGAGAGTAAGGCACTCACAAAGCAGCAGACGAGATGGCCGACTTACGATAAGGAACTCTGGGCGATCGTTCATGGCATCAGACATTTCCGTCAGTACACTGTTGGTGCCAGATTTGAAGTGGTGACCGACCACAAGCCGCTGGCAAACATACCGACATCGATCGCAGCAGAGCGAGACGGCACAGGACGTCGTGGTCGATGGGCGATCGAGCTGAGTTCTTTCGACTTCAATGTTCGGATCCGCAGCGGTCTGGCCCACGGGAACGCTGATGCGCTGTCTCGCAGACCACCAGATATGGCGTCTGCGGTCCGATCTGGTCAAGCCCAAGGCCAGGGGTGGTGTCCCGGTCGCTCTGTCTCAGAGAGAGGAGATAGAACGGAGACGGTGGGGTCAGTAGCGGGCGGCTCGCCCGCGCCGACGGAAGGCGGTTCGCCTGAGTCGGTTGTGACTCTTGTAGCTCCAACTGCTGTATTCTCAAGGCTTACGCAGGAACCGGCTGCTGTATCAGTCGCTGTGTCACAATCAGTCCAAGAACGGACCCTCCCTCCAATCGCCCAGGCGCAAGCCAGTGACGCGACGCTGTCGGCTCTCCGAAGAGCACACGAGAGGAAGGAGAAGCCAAGGCCTGCAGCGTTCGCTGGGTGGGGAGTGCTGCGAAAACACTGGAGCAAGGTGCGCGTCATGAATGGAGTAATCGGCATTGCCTCGGGTCGACAGTTCCAGGCGGCGGTGCCTCAAACTGAACGGGCCGAGATCATCCGACTGGCGCATGATGATCCATCGAGCGGGCACATGGGTCGCAGACGGACCATCGCCCGGGTGAAGGCTCGATTCGTCTGGCCGGGGATGAATGAGGACATCCGGAGCTTCTGTGCCTCGTGCACGCCGTGTCAGCGGCGGTACAGACCGGCACCCAAAAGACGAGCACCGATGGTTACCGAGGTTACCTCACGACCCTTCCAGAGAATAGCCATGGACATCACGGAGATGCCTGTGTCGAGAAGAGGCAACCGATATGTGCTCGTGATCATGGATTACTTCTCAAAGTTCGTACGAATCTTCCCGATGCCGAATCAGAAGACAGAAACGGTGATGGAGGTACTCCTTCACTGGGTTCAGGAGCTTGGTGTTCCCGAGAGGCTTCACACAGATCAGGGCGCTCAATTCGAATCTCTGATGATGCGTGAGCTGTACCAGAGGCTCGGCATCCACAAGACTAGAACAACGCCTTATCATCCTGAGAGCGACGGGATGGTGGAGCGCTTCATGAGGACCCTGAAAGACATGGTGTCGAAATACATCGACAGCCAGGGCCTTGACTGGGACGAAAGTACCAGATCATACGCCATGGCCTACAATTCTTCCCTCCACGAAACCACCGGTCACACACCTTTCTACATGATCCATGGCTTTGAGCCTCGGTTGCCTTTGGATGTAATGTACGGAACCGATGAAGTCGCAATACCAGCTGAAACCTTCCTGAACAAACGGCTGAAGAACATGAAGCGGGTCTTCGCACAGGTGAGGAGAGCCTCCTCCCAATCAGCTGCTCGAATGGCGGTTCGCCATGACAGCAAACTCAATTTTACCGCGTACCCAACGGGCTTGAAGGTGTGGGTACGAGACCACACTGCCGCTGTGGGAGGAAAACCGAAGCTGGGTCTGCCGTTTAAAGGACCGGTGACCATCGTCGAGAGAAGAGGCACACCGGGGGAGGAAGT